CTGTTGATGAATAATTAACACATTATACTTTGTCTGTACAATGGAATACTGTTTGGCAGTAAAAAAGGAATGATATACATGCTATGTGATAAACATTGAAAACACACTAAGTGAAAGAAGCCAGTCATAGAAGATCACATATTGTAAAGTTTTGTTCATATGAAATGTCCCAAACAGGCAAATTTATAGAGATAGAGAGTAGATAAGTGATTGCCCAGGGCCCGAGATGGGGGTGGAACAGAGTGACTGCTAAAGGATACAAGGCTACCTTGGGGAGTGATGGAAATGTTCTTAAATTGATGTAGTGATGGCTGCACAACTCAGTTAATGTATTAAAAACCATTGATTTGTACTCTTTAAAAAGGTAAATTTATGGTATATAAATCATATCCCCTTTTATAAGAAATTTTCAGGCTGGACTTCTCAGAAGCCTTTCATGAGCCCAAGTTTCATCTGTGCCATTAGATACCTGTATGCATTGGGTAAATTCCTCTTCTCTTGAGGTCCCTGAGCACATTTCCATTCCCGACCCCTCAGCAAGGGACCTTTGTTACTTACCACAGATCAGGAAAGGTTTCTCCATTCCCAGACCCGTCAGCAAGCGACCTTCATCACTTACCACAGATCAGGAAAGGTTACTGATGGGTATCTGGCCAGTTTTCCAAAGGGCTTTTTCATTTGGCCTTATAAAGTCAACCTTAATTCCTTAACATAGTCTGGAAATGCTATTCCAGCCAAAGCCTTGGTCATGTTAGGCTCACAACCAACCTGGCCACATGGGATTCTGCCTCAGTTTCTTACAAGTATGCCTGCACAAAGTCTTTTTACTGCTCTCTCTCAAATGGCTTTTTTGGCCAGAGGCACATAGGCATTTTGTCTATACCTCAGCCTCCCAAGTAGCTGGGACTACAGGTGCATGCCTCAATGCCTGGCTATTTTTTTTTTTATTGCAGTTGGTTAGCTCACCCGGGCCAGGTTCAAAGCTGCCACCTTTGGTGTATGTGGCTGGTGCCATAACCACTATACTAGGGACGCTGAGCCAATTTTCCTATTTTTTTGAGGAGACAAGTTCTCACTGGTGCTCAGGGTATGAAGGTATTCTTGAGGACCATGAGAGATGTTCTACAGTCCTCAGGAGTATTGTGCCACTGAAGTGCCTCAGGTTCCTTGCATTCAGTTGACAAGCTCTTTTAGTAAATGTATTTCACACTTCCTTGCCATAGTAATCTGAGTAACTGCATGACTGAAACTTTTCTGAATGCTCAGGTTCATATCTTGACTATCAGTTACTGTCCTTGAAGAGTGTCCTTAAGGAGCTCGGGATTGTTTGCTCCTACAGTCACTGTCCCTAGGATACTGACCTTTAAAGTTTTTTAGTCTGCTTTTTGCTATTTTTCCTATCCAGGGCTTTTAATTCTTGCGAAATTGAAAGTAACTGCTTCTAGAAACTTCAATGCACACATCCCCTGATTTTTTCATAGTCTACTCTAGCTGAGAAGTCAGACAGTAAGTTATTAAAAGTATATGAAATTAGAGAACAAATGCTCTGCATGGAAAAAACTTTGAGCTCTTTCATAGAAGTTTGTGATCTTTAAGATAGGATTTCCCAACCTTATCACTATTAACATTTTGGGCAGAACCATTTTTTGTTATGGGAGATTGTTCTGGACATTGTAGAAGTTTTAGCTGGATTGCTGGTTGCTACCCACTAAATGCCAGCATCCCTTCCTTACAAGGGTGACAACTCAGAATGTCTTTAGACATTGCTGAATGTCACTGGTAGGCAAAATTGCCCGTTTGAGGATCATGGCTTTGAAATTTAGACTTTACAATGCTTTGTTCAACTTAGACTTAGAGTTTTTTCCCTCCTTGCATTTTTCTGTGGTTCTCTGATTAATATCTCATTTATTGATTTGCCTAATATTTCATGAAAATCATGTGTGTGTGCGTTTCAATAGAATAAGCTATACACGGCTTGGCGCCTATAGCTCAGCAGTTAGGGCACCAGTCACATACACTGGAGGTGGAGGTGGAGGGGTAGAATCCAGCCTGGGCCTGCCAAACAACAATGACAACTACAACCAAAAAATAGCCAGGTGTTGTGGTGGGCACCTGTAGTCCCAGCTACTTGGGAGGCTGAGGCAAAAGAATCTTTTAAGCCCAAGAGTTTGAGGTTGCTGTGAACTGTGATGCCACAGCACTCTACCCAGGGTGACAGCTTGAGACTCTGTCTCAAAAAAAAAAGCAGGTGGAGCCTGTGTCTCAGTGGGTAGGGATTGGCCCCATATAAGGAGGGTGGCAGGTTTGAACACGGCCCCAGCCAAACTGCAACAAAAAAATTGCCGGGCGTTGTGGCAGGCACCCGTAGTCTCAGCTACTCGGAAGGCTGAGGCAAGAGAATCACCTAAGCCCAGAAGGTGGAGATTGCTTTGAGCTGTGACACCATGGCATTCCACCAAGGGTGATAAAGTGAGACGCTGTTTCTAAAAAGAAAAAAAAAAAAAAAAGAATAAGCTATACTATACTCTCCATTTTCTGGAAGGAAAATAGCACAAATATGTCTCCAGGGCACAAGTTCATCCTAAATCCCACCACAATCACCTTATCTACTTTCTGGATACTCTCTAGTGCCAGGCTAAGAGCCCCTACTACATACCTCCATGCTCAGCCACTCTTTACTGTCCCAGCCTGGCCCTCAGCTCAAGCTCCTGGCACAGCCTGCAGTGCTCTCCGCCGGCTTTCCCTGGACCTCTCCTTCCTCTTGGCCCGTCTCCCATCAGCCATCTCTGCCTGACCCAGGCCCTTTGGCACTGAGCAGTCTGGCTTTTGTTGCCAGCTAATCTGTTCTGTATCATACGTTTTCTCTCCCCACCCGCCATATCAATTCCTTGAAGGCAAGGCAGACTACAAGTAGGAAGCCACTTCAATTTGTCAGTTCCCACCCAGACCAGCCTGTGCCAGGCATCCAGCAGCTCCTCAAGCCCACTGGCATTGAATGTGGCATTCAAATCCCTGCCAAAGCTTCCCTTCCCATCTGGTTTCCTAGGGCTCTTTCCAATATCCCTTGCCCTGCCACTTCTCCAACTCCTCCCCACCTCCCAGTTTAAATCTTCTCGGACTCTTAGCTAAAGGAGGTGCTCATAAGGCGGAATCAAAGCTCTTCTTCCCTACCTGCAGGCAGTCTACCACCTCTCCCTACACACACCTATAGTTCCTTAAATTGAACTTAGTCTGGGACTGCCCACCCATCACAAGCACCTTGAGGAAAGGGCTTGGGTGCTGTTATTTTTATTTTTTTTTTCACTCTGGCCCAGAATGGATTGCAGTGGCTGGATCGCAGCTCACTGCAGCCTCAAAGAGCTCAAACGATACTCCTGCCTCAGCCACCTCAGCAGCTGGAAGACAGGAGCATGCCACCATGTCCTAATTTAAAAAAAAATTTTTTTTTAAGAGACGGGGTTTTGCTATGTTCCTCAGGATGGTCTTGAACTACCAGCCTTAAGCAATCCTCGCTCCTTGGCCTCACGAAGTGCTGGGTATACGGATGTTAGCCACAGAGTCTGGCCTATGAGCTGTTTATGGTCGTTCTCATAGTTATCTCTCAACTCCCTCTGGGGCCTGGCTGCCCAGCATTTCATCCGAGTATGCTGAATAGAGTAGAATGGGGATGCAGAAATATCTCAAATCCAGAAGCAGACATCCTGTAAACGTCCTTGACCACCCCTACCCAGAAGCAGCAGTCTCGTGGGCTGTAAATGTCCTCAGACATGTCTCGAACAAACTCTCCCAAGCGCCCGCAGGACTAGGGGAAAAGTGCCAACGCGAGCACCTGCTGCCGGCCTGAGACGGGCCATGGTATCACATGATTCTCCAGTCACATGATCCCTGGAAATGGGGTGTAGAGAGACAGAGAGGGAGCGGAGGAGGAGAGTGAATTGAGTAGGAAAAGAAACACAGCTTTCCAGGCTGGCCCCGCCTCTATGTCGATGAGTAACCAATGGGAGCGCAACCATCATGACGCCCCAGCCAATGGAAGCTAAGGTGGGCGGGTCATGGCGCCGAGGGGCTGTAGTTCTCAAGCTGACCGCCGACTGCTACCCAGCAAGCGAAGATCCAGACGCAGGTAGGTGGGTTGCCGCGCAGATCTTTACCCTGCTGCTGCCCAGAGGACCAGCGAGGGCCATGTGGGCTTGAGGTTTCTCTGGAGTCTCAGCTGGGAGACAAGAGAAGACTCGCTTAAGGAAATTTCTTTGGGGATTTCTGATGCACTGGAGGGAGTCTTATCAGAGGGGGGCAGTAAGCAGTAATTGCAATGACCCCCATTAGAAGGAGGCTCTCTTCCTCCCCAGCATCCTGGGAGGCTTCGGCCCGTCACCCCAAAGCAGGGACCACCTCATTCTTGAGCCAGCTTCTCCCCCTGTCGGCAGGCGCCGGCTCTTTCCCTGTGGTGGTGGTAGGTGGTCCTCGCGGCTCAGAGTAGGAAAGGTGCCCGCCTGTGGTCCGGGAGTTCCGAGGGGCTGGCGCGGGACTTGAGACCTTGGCTTCCCAGAGGTAGTAGAAACTTGGGAGTGGTGACTTAGCCTCTGCGTTGTGTCTGGTTCTTCCTTACTTCCTTCGTGGGGGGTGGAACCAGCTAACTTCTGCCTTTCCCCGCCACTTTTTCCTCCTTTTTTTGAGTTGTCTCTCCTTTGGGAAATTTCCTCTCCCCTTGGCACTCGGAGCTGGGGCGGGGGATGCCACCTAGTGGAAGATGACGGAGCTAGGGGCTTGACGAGGCTCCGGCCCCTTGGAGTTGTTTTGGCAGAGTTCTGTCGGGGTGAGAGGCTGCTACTCAGAACCCTGCAGAGAGGAATCGGTCCCCCTCCCCCACGTCCCTGATCTGTGTGCGCGTGCGTGTGTTGAGTAGCCGCACACTGTCTACTTCCTAACCTCAGGATAAACAAAGGGAACTCACCGAAGGGCTAATACTCCTGTGCAGACAGGCACCTTTTCCCAACAAGCCAGGACAGCGGGTCAGCCTGCTAAGGGGTGAGGCTAACTCCCCTGCCCAGGAAGCAGGTAGGGCAACTGTTTTGCATGAGAGCTGTAGGGGTTGGAGAGGGTGAGAGGGACAGCAGTCCAGGACCAGTCTTCTTTATCCTTATCCAGCCAGGTGGTGGCCTTTTGGGATGTTCTTTGAGTTCGAGGAAGGGGCACTTGAAAAAAGCCATTGAAGGAGAGGGTCTGGGTGGGATTTCCTTCCTCTCCTCCCCAGCACTGTCTACACAGACTCCTGAGGAATTGAGGCACACAGACAAGGAGCAGCTCCTAAGGTCCTTACAATTGGTTGGTGGCAATTCTAGTACTAGGACCCAAGTGCAAAGTCCCTGCACCCATTTCTGTCCTGCCTGTTGGATCTATTCCCTAGGGTTTGGGGCACTATTCTAGGCACTGCCCAGGGTGCCACTTACAAGATGAACCTGGGCCCAGTGTGCTCTGGAGACATCAAAGCCTGTTGTCATGCCTTTTTGTTTTTGTTTTTTGAGACAGAGTCTCACTTTGTTGCCTTCCAGTAGAGTCCTGTGGCGTCATAGCTCACAGCAACTTCAAACTCTTGGGCTCAGGGGATTCTCTTGCCTCAGCCTCCCAAGTAGCTGGGACTACAGGCACCCACCACAATGCCTAGCTATTTTTAAAGATGGGGGTCTGGCTTTTGCTCAGGCTGGTCTCAAACCTCCCATGAGGTCAGGCAATCCACCCATCTCGGCCTCCCAGAGTGCCAGGATTACAGTGTGAGCCACCGCACCCAGCCTACCTTTTTGTTTTTTAGAGATAGAGTCTTGCTCTGTTGTCTAGGCTGGAGCGCAGTGGTATGATCACAGCTCACTGTAACCTCAAACTCTTGGGCTCAAGCAATCCTCTGCCTCCACCTCCCAAGTAGCAAATGCTACAGGCAGGCAGTACCATACTGGGCCTTTTCTTTTTTCTTAATAGAGTCAGGATCTTGCTGTGTTGCTTGGGCTGGTCTTGAACTCCTGACCTCAAGTGATCCTCTTGCCTTGGCCTTCTGAAGTGCTAGGATCACAAGTGTGAGCCACGGTGCCCAGCCAGTCACCTGACTTGATTTATGACATGACCTTCGTATATGTTGAGAATTAGTTTCTAGGATTCCCCCCTTTGGATACCAAAATCTGTGAAATGCTCAAGTCCCTGATATAAAATGGCATAGTATTTGCATATGAACCATACATATCCTCCTGTAGTCTTTTTTTTTTTTTTTTGAGACAGAGCCTCAAGCTCTCCCCCTGGGTAGAGTGCCGTGGCATCCCAGCTCACAGCAACCTCCAACTCCTGGGCTCAAGCGAGTCTCCTGCCTCTGCCTCCCAAGTAGCTGGGACCACAGGCGCCCGCCACAACGCCCGGCTATTTTTTGGTTGCAGCCGTCATTGTTGTTTGGCGGGCCCAGGATGGATTTGAACCCGCCACCTTGGGTGTACATGGCTGGCGCCTTAGCCACTTGAGCCACAGGCGCCGAGCCGTATCCTCCTGTATTCTTTACATCATCTCCAGATTACTTATTATACCAAATAAAATATAAATGTTACTTATTATAAATAGTTGTTATACTGTATTGTTTAGAGAATGACAAGCGTGTTTCAATTGTTCAGTACAGATATCTTCATGATAGGCCTATAAGGTATATGTAGTACATTTCACCAACAATGTAACATTTTGTTAAATTTCTTTTTGTTTTTTCCTTTTTGAGACAGAGACTCTGTAGCCCTGGGTAGAGTGCTATGGCACCACAGCTCACAGCAACGTCAAACTCCTGCACTTAAGCAATCCTCTTGCCTCAGCCTCCCAAGTAGCTAGCACTACAGGCACCTGCCACAATGCCCAGCTAGTTTTTCTTTTCTTTCCTTTTTTTTTTTTTTTAAAGAGACAGAGTTTCACTTTGATGCCCTCGGTAGAGTGCTATGGCCTCACACCTCACAACTCACAGCAACCTCCAGCTCTTGGGCTTAGGTGATTCTTTTGCCTCAGCCTCCCCAGTAGCTGGAACTACAGGCTCCTGCCACAATACCTGCCTATTTTTTGTTGCAGTTTGGCCGGAGCCGCGTTCGAACCTACCACCCTCGGTATATGGGGCTGGCGCCTACCCACTGAGCCACAGGCACCGCACCCCAGCTAGTTTTTCTATGCCTCAGCCTCCCAGACTGACTGCTAGGATTACAGGCGTAAGTCACTGAGCCCTAGCCTCTTAAGAATATTTTTCATTGGCTCAGTGCCTGTAGTTCAGTGGTTAAGGTGCTGGCCACAAACACTGGGGCTGGCAGGTTCGAACTCGGTCCGGGCCTGCTAAACAACGACGACAACTACAACAACAACAAATAGCTGGGCGTTGTAGCGGGTGCCTATAGTCCCAGCTACTTGGGAGGCTGAGGCAAGAGAATCTCTTAAGCCCAAGAGTCTGAGGTTGCTGTGAGCTATGACTCCATGGCACTCTACCAAGGGCAACATAGTGAGACTCTGTCTCAAAAGAAAAAATATATATATGATATATATATTATATTATATTATATCTCTGAGCTTCAGTTTCCTCCCTTAAAAGGTAAGGGATTGAGGTGGTGTGCACCTGTAGGCCCAGCTACTTGGAAGGCTGAGGTGGGAGGATCACATTAGCCCAGTGGTTCAAATCCAGCCTGTGCAACATAGAGACAGATCCTATTTCTAAAAATAAAAGCAAAGGTACACCGGATGGTTGTTGCAAAAAAATAAAATAACAGAGAGTATTGTAACTGGCTCCCAAGAGGCTCATCAGACATTACTACTGTTGCTCCTCCAGGCAGGGTAACATCTCTCTGGCTGCTCTGTCAAGCTACTGCTGGGTTTAGGGGAAGGGGATTTTAGGAAGAGGCTGCCTACACCAGAGACGTGAGGCTGGGTTCCTCCTGCTGACTCAGACAGGCAGCCCCACAGGTACACGTGGTTCCTTTCTGCACGTGGCTGATTTTTACTTTCAGGGTAGAGCGAGAGGCGAGGGTAGGAAGGGGTATATTTGGGGGGTCTGAAAGGGCCCTAGTGGTGTTGGGGGTCGCTCAATACACAGGAGTCTTGAAGGCTGATCCAGCCTCTATATCCCCTTCCGTAGGTGAGGAGGAACAGTTGTGGGCAGGTGGTGACTGGTCTTTTGAGAAGGCAGCCCAGATTCCACTGGCCACTGTACTTCCTTTTTCACAACTTTCTCAAGCCTGTGGTTTCCCATGTCATCATGGGGCTGCTCCACCCACCAAAACCTTAGTGGGGTATGAGTATGAGCAGTGTTGGGTGAGGAGACATCTGGACAGGCTGGCTGCAGAAGGGGAACCCTGCTTTCTCCTGGGAAGAGGGCTCCCTCCTTGTACCCCAGCCCCATCCTCTCCCATGGCTACTGATGCCTTTCTCATACCCCTGGAGAGGAAGGCCCACATTCCCACAGATTAGACCCACAGAAATCATATCTTCCTGTCACAGGCCTACATTTACACACACACTCAGAGAGACCTGCGTGTCAGGCCATGTGTTGGGAACTCAGACCCACACACCTATGCATGCCAACATTCATGCTTATGGCTGTGTATGTGCTTGTACATGTGTGACACACACAGAAGACATCATAGGAAGGTCTCAACCTGCTCGGCTTTCTCTCTGCCTGGACAGAGATTTGTTGGACAGGCTCATGTAGTCTTGGGCCTGGACCTTGGCATGGGGCTGGGTGAGTGGCTTAAGAATTAAGGGTGGCGGCTCAGCGCCTGTGGCTCAAGTGGCTAAGGCGCCAGCCACATACACCTAAGGTGGCAGGTTCGAATCCCCAGCCCGGGCCCGCCAAACAACAATGACAGCTGCAACCAAAAAATAGCCAGGTGTTGTAGCAGGCACCTATGGTCCCAGCTACTTGGGAGGCTGAGGCAGGAGACTCCCTTGAGCCCAGGAGTTGGAGGTTGCTGTGAGCTGTAATGCCACAGCACTCTCCAGGGGCACGACTTGAGGCTCTGTCTCAAAAAAAAAAAAAAAAAAAAAAAAAGAATTAAGGGTGGCAGATGCTCCATGGTTTTTGCAGGTGGACCATGTGGACACTGGTGAGCTGGGTGGCATTGGTGGCAGGGCTGGTGGCTGGAACACAGTGCCCAGATGGTCAGCTCTGCCCTGTGGCCTGCTGCCTGGACCCAGGAGGAGCCAGCTACAGCTGCTGCAATCCTCTTCTGGTGAGTGCTCTTCAGCTGGGCAAGAGCTGACAGCTTGGGTTTTCCCAAAGGGTCATCTTGGGTTGGCCAGAGGTGGCCAGGCACAGGTTTTTTGGTTTATCTCCTTCCCTCTCTTCCCAGGACACATGGCCCACAGCACTGAGCAGGCGTCTGGGCAAACCCTGCCAGGTTGATGGCCACTGCTCTGCTGGCTACTCCTGCCTTCTCACCATCTTAGGGACTTCCAGTTGCTGCCCATTCCCAGAGGTGAGGGAGGAGCTGGTAGCTCAATGGAGGTCTGCATTTACACCTTTCCTGCACTCTCCTACCCCCAGGTAAAAGGGCCTCATAGACTTTTCCGTGTCCTATAGGCTGTGTCATGTGCAGATGGCCACCACTGCTGCCCACGGGGCTTCCACTGCAGTGCTGATGGACGATCCTGCTTCCAAAAAGCAGGTATGACAGGGGCTCAGGTGGAGGCCAGGTGGATGGGTAGCATGTGGAACCTGGAGCACCCAGGAGCTGAGCCAGCCAGGTGATCCTGGTTCCAGCCCTGGTGCTCTCATTCACATTCATGTGGCATCTGTACTAAGCAACCCTCTGCTCTGGACAGAGGGACAGTTCTGGAGATAGTAGGGGACAGAAGAGAAAACAGGACCCCAGGCCAGGTCCAGGCATTGCAGGGGTGGGGAGAGGTCAAGCTGGACTGGTCTGATGCTAACCCACTGTCAGTGGTTACCTTTTCTGTGTCACCTTGCTGAGGCAGGAAACAGATTGAGGAGGGAGGCTTAGGGGTACCTGGGAGCTCACCAAGCTCTAGTATCATTCCACCCACTATAGCTAGGCCATTAGCTCCTTGGGCAATGACCTTTACTGGCCGGGTTGGTGAGATCCTGCATCCTGCATCATCTTGTCCACAGATAACAACCTCTTGGGGGCTGTCCAGTGCCCTGGGAGCCAGTTTGAATGCCCAAACTCCTCTACATGCTGTGTTATGGCTGATGGCTCCTGGGGATGCTGCCCCATACCCCAGGTACAGTTCTGGGGAGGTGGGGTTTGGAGAAGGTGGTGGGGCAGAGTTAGGGGGTAGGAGTGGGCAGAGACTGAGTCAGGATCATCTCTTCTAAGGCTTCATGCTGCGAAGATAAGGTGCACTGCTGTCCCCATGGTTCCTCCTGTGACCTGGTTAATGCCCGCTGCATCACACCCATGGGGGTCCACCCCCTGGCAAAGAAGATCCCTGCACAGAGGACTAATCGGGGAGGTGAGGAGGGAGATCATGGGGCTGGGAGCCGGGGGCAGGGGGGGGTTAGGCCTCATCTCACTCCAGATGGTAAAGATCCCCCCAACCCTGGCTGCTGCTCATGCCTTGCTCCTCTTCCAGTGGCTTTGTCTACTTCGGTAGTGTGCCCCGATGGGCAGTCCCAGTGCCCTGATGGTTCTACGTGCTGTGAACTGCCCAGTGGGAAGTACGGCTGCTGCCCGATGCCCAACGTGAGTGAGGGGCTGGAGCCAGCTTGGCTGTGGGCCTCCTGGGGAGATAGGACTGGCTGGCTGGCTGGTGGGAGCCTGGTTGGCTCAGGACTCATGCCACCCTCTAGTGGAAGATTGGGGCAGTGCCAGCATCGGTGGGCCTGCTGCTTACACATAGTTGAGACTGGAAGTTACAAGAACCGACCCTCTGTTTCCGTTCAGGCCATCTGCTGCTCCGACCACCTGCACTGCTGTCCCCAAGACACTGTGTGTGACCTGATCCAGAATAAGTGCCTCTCTAAGGAGAACACTACAGAGCTCTTCACTAAACTGCCTGCACACATAGGTACCAAGGGCAGGCACGGCCACAATTTCATTCCACCTGTACCACAAGGAGGTGCTTCCCACCCCACTGTTCTGGACACAGATGTGGGAGTGGGGCTCTCTTTTCTCCCCACTAGGTGTTGCCTTAGGATAGCTGTAGGGTGCCATAAGTGGTAACCTCCATCCTCAGCATCTGGTTCTAGCTGTAGAGCAGGCAAAGGGTGGGTACCTCTGAGGGTCCCAAGTACCACTGCTGACCTCTTTGCCTCCCTTACAGTGCAGGAGGTGAAATGTGACATGGAGGTGAGCTGCCCAGATGGCTACACCTGCTGCCGCCTACAGACGGGGGCTTGGGGCTGCTGCCCTTTTACCCAGGTACCCAGGAGTCAGGGGTGGGGGGGTGAGCTGAGGGTAGCAGTTAGGTCCTTGTGCTCACTGGTCCTTCTCCATCCACCCTAGGCTGTGTGCTGTGAGGATCACATACACTGCTGTCCCAAGGGGTTTAGGTGTGAAACAGAGAAGGGTACCTGTGAGCAGGGGCCCTACCAGGTGCCCTGGATGGAGAAGGCCCCAGCTTACCTCAGCCCACTGGAGCCACAAGCTGTGAAGAGTGACATCCACTGTGATAACTTCACCAGCTGTCCCTCTACCAGCACCTGCTGCCAACTCCAGTCTGGGGAGTGGGGCTGCTGTCCTCTCCCAGAGGTATGTGGGTAGGGTGACAGCGCTAAGGGTGGCTTGGCCTAGGGAGATGGTTGGCCAGACTGCTACTGCTTTACTCCTCCAAACTTTGCCTACCTAGCCCACAGGTGACACCCAGCTATTAACAGGAGAGGCTGGCTGGGGTAGCTTGGGGCTCAGTCAGCACTGCGCCCCAGATATGAGCTCCCTAGGCCACCCTTTCCTGCCTATTCCCCAGGCTGTCTGCTGCTTGGACCAGCAGCATTGCTGCCCCCAGGGCTACACATGCGTAGCTGAGGGACGGTGTCAGAGGGGGAACAAGATAGTGGCCGGATTGGAGAAGACACCTGCCCGCCCCAGAGACATTGGCTGTGATCAGCACACCAGCTGCCCAGTGGGGCAGACCTGCTGCCCAAGCCTGAGTGGGGGCTGGGCCTGCTGCCAGTTGCCCCATGTGAGTGCTCACCCTCCTGCACCTGGATAAGAGGGCTAAGGCCAGTGGGACAGGAATATGATGCCATCCCTCCCCTGACCCAGGCCGTGTGCTGTGAGGATCGCCGGCACTGTTGCCCAGCTGGGTATACCTGCAATGTGAAGGCCCGGTCCTGTGAGAAGGAAGTGGACTCAGCCCAGCCTGCTGCCCGCCTAGCCCAAGGCCCACTTGTGGGTGTGAGTGACGTGCAGTGTGGGTCAGGCCGCTTCTGCCATGATAACCAGACCTGCTGCCGAGACAGCCGAGGGGGCTGGGCATGCTGTCCCTACCGCCAGGTCAGTGCCAACCCCTACCCTGGGGCTGGATATGGCCATGGGCCAATTCCTGCCTTGTCCAACTCTCACCCTCCTCTCGCCGTCCAGGGTATCTGTTGTACAGATCAGCGTCACTGCTGTCCTGCTGGCTTCCGCTGTGGGGCCAGGGGCACCAAGTGTTTGCGCAGAGGTACCCTGCGCTGGGACAGCCCTTCGAGGAACCCAGCCCCAAGACAGCTGCTGTGAGGGACAGGACTGAAGACACTCCGCAGCCCTTGGGACCCTGCTTAGAGGGTGCCCACTGCTCAGGCCTCCCCAGCACCTCTCTCCAACCAAATCCTCCCACCCCCACCATTCTGAGTCCCTCTATCACCATGAGACGTGGGGCCTCACTCTAAGGCCTTCCCTATCAGAATGGTGGCTGTGGCAAAAGCCACAATACAAGCTGCCAAGCCCTCCCCCCATTTCTGCGGACCCTGTGGCCAGGTGCTCTTCCCTATCCACAGGGGTGTGTGTGTCTGTGTGTGTGTGTTCCAATAAAGTTTGTACACTTTCTTAACAGTCTGATTTGGCCCCGCTGCCTGCCCTCTCCAGGGCCCCCCTGAGCAGGTGTTTTGTCCAGTGCCAATGTTCCCCCACCCCACAGAAAGACACACGGGCGTCACCCTCACCAATTTTATATTTGCTGTTGCCTACAGCTGCCCCATCACATTATCCCCTAGTCCCCAGAGCTGCCCCAGCCACCAGCTCTGTGACATCGTAGCCCAGAAGTGGGCTAGTCAGCAAGCAGCACCCCTTCCCTCCCAGGGGTCCACAGAAAATGCCCCTTCCCTTCCCAGCCCTCACACTAGCAGCTCAGGCTGGGCTGCCCCTTCTGCTTCCCCACGATAGAACTTTCTATATACAGCCGCGTCTATACAGGCGCTGCTTCCCCCCCACCCAGCCCTCCTCCCCAGCACCTCCCAGTGGGGAGCCGGACCCTTCACTCCCTTGGCTTGGAGGCAGACACAGGGTCCCTCCGCAAGACATTACCCAGCACATACCACGGACGACTCCGCAGGCCCCTGGACGCCTTTCCAGCAGAGGCTGGGGCTAAGAGCGAGTGCCCCCGCAGGCTCCCAGGGCGCGCACCCTGGGGATGGGCCCAGGAGGAAGGGGTGGGGGCAGACCCCGAGGCGGCGCCAGCGCTACTTGACATTGAACACCATGAGTGGCCGCTCCTCCCGCCGCTGCCACGGGCTCTTCTTGTCGCCAGCCTCGTCGCCCACCTCCGCCCCCAACTCGTCCTCCGGGCTGGTGAGCGAGTCGCGCCGCAGCTCGCTGGCGCTACTGCGGGAACTGTCCCCGCGGCTGCGGCCCCGACCTCGGGGCACCGTGGCCGCCCGGCCCTCGGGCGCCGCCACCTCGTCCAGCAGCGGGGTCAGCGAGTTGTCCTCCGGGGAGCAGAGACCCGTGCGGCTCTCGCTGCTGCTCGGCTCCGTGTCCTCGCTGAGCGCCAGGCGTGGGGGCGCGGGCGGCGGCAGCGGCGCTGCAGGCGGGGCGCGCTCCCGCTCCTCCTTTGGGGCCCGGCGGCGCGTGGGCCGCGCCTCGTGTACGTCGACGCCGGAGTCCAGGCTGGCGTCTGTGCTGCGGCCCCCTCCGCCAGCCTGCAGATCAATGTAGGAGTGGCGCACTTGCGAGTTGGAGCGCCCGTCCAGGGACACGAACCAGGCACGCGGGTGAGGTTTCACGCCCAATTCCAGCAGCTTCTTCTCGGTCAGCGCCTGCAGCTCCCCGTTGAGCTGTGCCATGGTGGACTCGTTGAACAGCACCGGGATAGTGACGGAGCCGCTGACTGGCGCAGAACGCCCGCTCCCCCATCCCTCGCCGCCGCCACCCCCGCCGCCCTCGCCCCCAGCGCCCGAGTGGCCCTGCATTAGCGGCCGCTGAGGGTCGGGCTGGGGAAAAGGACGCGCGGGGCCAGGGGCCGCGCCCTCGGGCGGGACGGGCTCATCGCCTACACCCGCGGCGCCAGCCTCGCCGCTGAGACGCACGTAGTGCGCGGGGATCACCAGGGTGGGCATGACGTTGCGGTAGACATTGTCCTTCAGGTGGTCGATGGAGCCGCAGAAGATGAGCTGCCCCGGCTGGCTGAGCGACGGTGGCCGCGCCAGCTGATCCACCGACTGCGACAGCAGGAAGTCGGGGGTCTTGCTTTCTGCCGCCCCCTTGTGGCCCAGGTAGTGGTCGAAGGGCGGCGGCGGCGAGGGCGGCTCGTGCAGAAATGCCGCAGCTCCTGAAGGCCCCCGCCGGTACTCCTCCAGGCCCGGCTCCAATCCGCCAGGACCCTCGACCGAGCGGGCGCCCTTGAGCCCTGCAACTTCGCCTCCCCGGGCACCCGAAGGCTCTGCGGCCGGGCGGCTGGCCGAGCGCGGCTTGGCGCGGAAGAAGTCGTCCCGGGAAGCAGCCAAGTCCCTGGAGCTGGAGAAGGCCGAGTGGAGGGGGCCTGGAGGCGGAGCCTCGGGGTCTCCAGACGAGGCGGGCTCCAGGGGTCCTGCACAGATGAGGTGGAGCTGGGACATCGAGGTGGCCTGGTCTCGTTTGTTACCGTCGGAGGGCCCGGAGAGCTGCAGCTTGCGGTGCTGTTGCCTGGGTTTCAGGCAGCGCCTCCTGGAGAGGAAGGAGGAGACAGGGACACTCAAGGGAAAGGTGAGGGCCAGAGTAGCTCCCTAACACCCCGGCCTCAGTTACAAGGTGAGGGATGGGTATAGTTGGAGGACTGGGGTGGGAAGAATGCCTGGGGCGTTCAGGAGAGATGGGTAGGGGGCTTGGGAGAGGTTTGTGCAAAGAGTTTGGAAGAGTGTGGAAGGCCTCTTCAGCAGTTGTGTAAGTTTGTATCCCCCTGGGGTGAGCTCTGCACTTCTTTGCTTGTAGGAGGTTCCATGAAAACTTGAGAAACAGGTGTCTGGCCTAGGGTCCTCTGGGAGGGAGAGATGGGCTAGAAGGAGCAGCTGTAGGTCCTGCCTCCTGTCTGCCGCCTCCCGCCCCCTCCTTAAGCTAGTCTTTTAAGGGCTGTGCATGTGCATACGAAGTCCTTTCCTTTCAGACCTTGAGGACCAGAATTGTGTTTTAGGAATCTGTGGGGCCCTAGTGCCCAGCTCAAGACTAGGCATAGTGCGGCCTCAGTGGGAGGAGAGGAGGCTGGGCACTCACCGGCAGTAGTAGATGAGGAGACATAGCAGGATAAGCAGCAGCAGGGCCAGGGCGGCCAGGATGGTGAGCAGGAAGATGGTGTGGTAGGTGCCAATGTCCTGGATGCCCGATGTGATGGTGACCAGCCCTGTGCCAGGGCTTAGCGTTCAGGTGTGGATGCCCTTCCCGCCTTTGAGGAGAAATCCACTCTCCCAGCCTCCCTCTCTCCCACTCCCCACCCCCACTGACCCACTGCTCTCACCAGCTGTGGGAGAGGCCATGGCAGCTACCCAGTACCCCAGCTGGGGAGAGACGAAAGTCCAGTAGAGCTGCCGGCCTTCCTTCCGGATTACGCCAGTGCCATTTCGTACCCACAGCCCTGGGAGAGGCGAAATCAAACTCAATGTCCTTCCCACCTAAGTCCCACTTTCTCCCCTCCCCCAACTCTAGCACTGCAACCCCTGGAAGCACTTACCACTCTTGGGGTCGAACCTCCAGGCTGGAATGCTGGTGCCCACAGCAAGGGCACGTGCCTCTGAGGGCACAGGCAGGGACAGGTGAATGGGACCTGAGAGTGGCACCTCTGTCCCATTACCTGTCAGTAGGTGCACACTTATAGCAGCCAAAGGCATCAGCTCCAGCCAGGAGCCATTGCCTGAGGGAAGAGGACACAAAGGCTGAGAGCTAGTTGTGGGGCAGTGGTGGGGAGAACCCTTTCATACTGGGCATCCAGCATACCTGAGCTGGAGGCTTCAGTGCCCAGGAAGGCAGGGAAAGCACGCATTTCCTGCTGGGTGCTGGCAGGTGTGAGCGAGGCCCAGAGTTGGCTGTAGGTGGAGCTGACAGGTAGGCGGGCAGCCCGGCGCTGGAACTGCACCCAGGGCTGGGAGCGGGCACCTGGATGGAAAGAGGCTGCAGTGGCCTGGCCAGGGACAAGGTTTCCCAGGGCCCAGAACAGAAAGCCAGTATCCAAGAAGGGAAGCCACTGGGTCAGGCCATTTGGGAAGGGAGGGTGTTGCCTTGGGGAGAGAACTGGGCAGTCCTAGAATGTTAATCTAAAAGGGACATAGACCTGAAATTGCTGAGACCCTCAGAAGGTTATTTGCTCTCTTGGAAATGCTGTTTCCTTATAAACCTATAAAATGCTGAGGTTCAAATCATCAGCAATTAGTATTGTCTACAGTGTGGCAGGCATTGGGTCAGGTACAAGGAGTGTAAAAATGAATGATGTAACACCCTGCTTTCAAGTTACAGTCTAGTGTTGTGCTGTCATTTACAACTTTCTGATGCCATGGGAATGTTCTCTGTGTGACCCATTGTACTGCTAGGCACACATGGCTGTAAAGCATTTGAAATGTAGCCACTGTGACTGAGACTGAATTTACCAATGTTTAAGAATTTAATGAATTTTTGGCTCGGTGCCTGTAGCTCAGTGGCTAGGGTGCCAGCCACATACACCAGACCTGGAGGTGGTTTGCCAAATAACAATGATAACTACAACAACAAAAATAGCCGAGTGTTATGGCAGGTGCCTATAGTCCCAGCTACTTGGGAGGCAAGGCAAGAGAATTGCTTAAGCTCGAGAGTTTGAGGTTGCTATGAGCTGTGACACCACAGCACTCTACCGAGGGCAACATAGTGAGACTCTGTCTCAAAAAAAAAAGTGATGAATTTTTAATGTAAATTATTTCAATTTAAACAGACACAGGTAGCTAGTGATTGCCTCATTAGAAGCTTAGGTCATATGTGCATGTGTTGGGGAGGAAGGCATGAACATGAACAGAATTCCGATGCAATATGGTCATAGCTAACATTTATTAAGCTTTAAGATATGCTGGACATTGTTCTGGGCAAGTTACCTGTATTAACCCCTGTAATTAGGATACTAACCCCTGATGTATATTTATCATCAGCTCCCCACCTTTTTTTTCCCAGTTTTTGGCCGGGGCTGGGTTTGAACTCGCCACCTCTGGCATATGGGGCCAGGGCCCTACCCCTTTGAGCCACAGGCGCTGCCCATCAACCCCATTTTATAGATGCAAAAATGAAGGAAGAAGTTCAATAACTTGCCCAATCATTGAGCCTGGTTTGAAGCCCAGGCCATTCGGTGCCAGGGCCCAGCGTCTCAGCTACCATCCCTTCCAGTCTCACTGTTGTAACAGAGGGATGCAGGGGCCTATTGGAGCTTGGCCCACCAGCTCAGGGGAGGCCCCGTTAGAGTCTTGCAGGATGAGTAAGAGTCAGGAAAGAGAGTGAGAATGGGCTTCTACGAGGACTGGCATGGGAAATGTCCAGAGGCATAGGGCAGCAGGAACTGTCTGAGGACTGCAAGGGCAGGTAACTGGATTGCAGGGGTAATATGCAACAGTTGCCTGGCCCATGAGGGCCTTGCT